TGGCTCATTAATCCCAGAAGCTCCACCCACCGCATCACATGTAAGATCATCATCAAGAAACATTAAATCTTTTTTATCTTCATCATTTTTCATTCTACCCATCAACCATTTATTACTTTCATCAATATCATCCAAAGCAATAGGATCAGGGTTCCCTTTCGACGTTGCAATGAATGATTGAATTTAAAATAACTCTTAATATTTACATATGTTATAATTTTGCTCCTGATTATAGAAAGTATATAAAAGTAAAATTTGTATAAAAATTTTTAAGATTTAATTGTAATAAAACCTACAGTAAAAGAAAAAACAATTAAACCCTAATGAAAATTTTATGCTCAATTGAGGTCTTCATTTAGCTAAAATTAACTTTGAAGTTTATAATACCATTTTTTAATATTTCGGAGTTTATAATATTAATTTTCAATATTTTGGAGTTTGAATTAAAATTAACTTCTAATTTTGAAATTCATTTTAGGTTAACACCTCTGTTTGGTATATACTTTTATCCGGACAAAATAAGTTACTATTAGGGTTAGAGAGAAACAAAACTAATTTGAAACTTTTCAAACTATACAGGCACATTGATGGATTGAAGTTTTTTGTTTTTTTTTTGTTTTTTTGACCAAGAAACGTCTGCTTTGATTAAACTAAAACAAAATAAGCCAATGTCTTAAAACAAATGCAAGCCAGCTGGCTAGTAATAAAGGAAACATCAAGTTCGTGAAACACACCCAAACAAAGTAAACAAATCAGTAAAAACTAGCATGCCTTTCAGTTCCTCTGAATTAACCAAGTAAAAAATGATGAAGAGAGCGATCTTCAGAGAAGTAGAGAAGAAAACAATCAATACTTCCATCCTTCGTATACCCATGCCAAGAATCAGATATAAGGAGGGTCTAAGTACATTCGATCTTCATCTGCTTGGACTTCCACTCGTCGCGAGGCTTCCTCGATCCAATAAGTATCTGTGAGTTCGTGATCGTCGTCCATCGCCAGGAGGTGAGCTGCCTGGTTACTCTTTCGCGGAACAAATTGAAACGCACATGCATCAAAAAGATTAATCTCGTTTTTGTGCTTCCCAGATGAAAGCACTGACTTTTGAAAAATCTTCATTCGGAGAGGAGAGTTTAGAGATGACTGCGTGAACAACCGCCATGGCTTCAACGAAAACGAAAAGGTAACCCTTTGTTGAGTTCTCCTACATGCACCCATTATCTAACCATCTTGATTTCGAATAATAACACAAGTAACTATTTTTTTGTGGACTTGCGAGAAACTATCATCAAAATTTTACTAAACGCATCGGCCCGCATCAGACCGCATTATGTATCTCCTACCGCATCAGACTGCCAGATGCATTTTAACCATCGCAACGACCGCATCACGCATCAGGCGCGCCTGATGCGTGCTTTTTTAAACCAAGATTGGCAGTTTCTATCTTTTTTTTAATTTGTTAGTTTATTCAGTTAGTTTAGTCTCGGGGTGTTAAGTTTATCTTTGCTGGTTTTCTCTCTTCCCCCGCCCCCCCCCCCCACACAATATTTTATGAAGAATGTATGAAATGGGAACTTATTTTTGTTCGCTTAGAAACCGAGGGAGAAGAAAAGTGAAATGTTAGCTATTTGTGTGGTTATGTAATATGTTGAACTCTTTGGTCAAGAAATACTTGGCACAAAACAAAGCTTAATTGCTTTGTTTAGGGATATTGAAGAAGTCTAATTGGTGTTAAGTTTATGTGTTTGTTATGTCCTTTTCCTTAACATTTGGATTTTCTTGTGATTCATTATTTGTATTGATTTGTTTCCTATGTTGGTTAATGTGGTAGTTGTTGAAACTCGAAACTAAATTTTGTTCTGTGCTTATTTTCTTTTCATGATTGGTATACTTCTTTGATTATTAAAATGATATTGTTGATAGAACAAAACTTACCTTTTGGTCTACATTTGAAATATTGCAAAATAGGTTGGATGCATTTCTTCATATCTTCCTCGCTCTATGTTAGTCACTTGTCAGTGTTTGGCCTATTTGTCACGATTTCCCATTCATATAGTCATTCTTTTTAATTATCATTGTGTTATCAGTTTGTAAATTCGGGCTGTGTTTTGGGTCTGAGTTAGTTGGTGGTTCCTAGACTGTGGTTGTTCTATTCAATGGCAAACAATGATCTGATACTCGGACAAAGTCACAGTTTAGCATTGGGGCAGAGTCAGACTATGGTATTAGGCCATAATCATAATTTGGGTCTCACCCAGTGCCATGATTTGGATTTAGGAACTGGCCATGATCATCCTTTAGGATTGGGACAGGCTCATGATCATTACCGAGGTTTAGGGCACACACATGACCATGAATTGGATTTAGGGCACAACCATGATCAAGAAGGGGGTGTTGGTCACAATTACAGACATGATAACGACTTAACTACTGATAAAAAACCTGACCATGATGACCATGGGTTGGCTTTATCGGAGAATAATGAATTGGATGTTTCTGAAAGCCAAGAGCTTGATGATAATCTGGAACTGGCTGCGGTTGATAACCAAGAGATGGAAATTGATCCTGCCCGAGATTTGCAGCAATCCCAGGCTTTAGTCAGTCTCCCTCCTGTCCTTCAGGTTCGGAATTCAAATCCGAGTTATGAATTGGCAGTTGGGCAAGAGTTCCCGGATGTCAAAAGCTGCCGCAGGGCATTGAGGGATACAGCCATTGCTCTTCACTTTGAAATGCAGACCATTAAATCTGACAAGACTCGTTTCACAGCCAAATGTGAAAGTGAGGGATGTCCGTGGCGTGTACATGCTGCAAAGCTCCCTGGTGTTCCAACATTCACAATCAGAACCATCCATGAGACCCATACATGTGGAGGCCTTTATCATCTTGGCCATCAACAAGCCTCTGTGCAGTGGGTTGCACACTCTGTGGAGCAGCGATTAAGGGAAAATCCTAACTACAAGCCAAAAGAGATATTGGAAGAGATTCATAGGGTTCATGGAATAACCTTATCTTACAAGCAAGCCTGGCGAAGGAAGGAGCGTATCATGGCTGCTATGCGTGGATCTTTTGAGGAAGGGTATCGCTTACTCCCTCAGTACTGTGAACAGATAAAGCGGACAAATCCCGGGAGTATTGCATCTGTTTATGGAAACCCAACAGATGGCTGTTTCCAGCGCCTCTTCATATCGTTTCAGGCCTCTATTTATGGCTTTCTGAATGCTTGTCGGCCACTCCTTGGGTTAGATAGAACATTTTTGAAAAGTAAATATCTTGGAACTTTGCTTCTTGCTACTGGTTTTGATGGTGATGGTGCTTTGTTTCCTCTGGCATTTGGTGTCGTCGATGAGGAAAGTGATAACAACTGGATGTGGTTTCTCTCAGAACTCCATACTCTGCTTGAAATTAATACAGAAAACATGCCAAGGCTTACGATTTTGTCCGATAGACAGAAGGGCATTGTGGATGGTGTTGAAGCAAATTTTCCTACTGCTTTTCATGGATTTTGCATGCGTCATTTGAGTGAAAGTTTCCGAAAGGAGTTTAATAATACTATGCTTGTCAACCTTCTATGGGAAGCTGCTCATGCCCTGACTGTAATTGAATTTGAAGCAAAGATACTTGAGATTGAAGAGATATCGCAAGATGCTGCATATTGGATCCGTCGAATCCCACCTCGGTTGTGGGCGACAGCTTATTTCGAAGGCACACGGTTTGGGCATCTAACAGCAAACATAGTTGAATCACTGAATTCTTGGCTTTTAGAAGCTTCAGGTCTTCCAATAATTCAGATGATGGAATGCATTAGGAGACAGCTTATGACCTGGTTCAATGAACGGCGAGAAATAAGCATGCAGTGGACATCAATACTCGTGCCTTCTGCTGAAAGATGCGTTGTAGAGGCCATTGAATGTGCACGTACATATCAAGTACTTCGTGCTAATGAAGCCGAATTCGAAGTTATATCTCAAGAAGGAACAAATATAGTGGACATTCGCAACCGCTGCTGCCTTTGCCGTGGCTGGCATTTGCATGGCTTGCCCTGTGCACACGCAGTGGCTGCACTTCTTTCTTGCGGGCAGAATGTTCATCGCTTTACCGAGAGCTGTTTCACCGTTGCAACATACCGGAAGGCATATTCTCAGACCATTCATCCTATTCCGGATAAAAGTCTATGGAAAGAGTTGTCTGACGGTGATCCAAATGCCAACAAAGCCCTTGAAGTTATCATCCACCCACCCAAATCACTTAAGCCACCTGGTCGGCCACGAAAGAAGCGAGGCCGGGCAGAAGATCGTGGCCGTACGAAGAGGGTTGTGCATTGCAGCCGTTGTAATCAGACAGGTCATTTTAGAACAACATGTGCAGCGCCCATTTAAGTTATGATTTTCTTGGAAGTTGAAATTGCTGCTTTAGAACTTGGTTATGCAAAAGGATTCTTGATTTCGCTTTCATCTTGTTAGTTTATTGTTAATTAATTATTAGATTTGCAAGTAAATGTTTTGTTCTATTTGTCATTTATGTGAATATGCCTGGCATCGCCTATCCACTTGTCCTATATGAATGTTACCTTCAATAATTATCGAATACTTATCTCATGATTCTAGTCATTATTATTTTCTCATATTTAATTTAATGCAGGTATGTTCAATCAATAAAATAAATAATTAATAGAAAAAAAAGATAAAATTTCGAGTGAGCACTTGTCCACTCTAACTTTATTTACATCAGCAATTGTTTATATCCCCATACTCGGTATTTCTAAGATTATATCGGACATGAGTATTCGATTTTGATACTTAAAGAAAAATGAAGAATGTTATATATATATATATATATATTAGACTAATTAAATTGGATCGCACAATGGGAGTTGAACATCTATCAGTTCGATAATTTTCATGCAAATAATTTATAATTTTAAAAAGATATATTTGAGAACCAAATAAAGAAGATAAGTGAGAACCCAATTTGTAAAACACAAGTACACAACTATAGGATGTTAAGGGAGATTAGAGCCCAATCTGTAACCCTAAAACCCCAATTTCTCAAACCCCTAAAAATCTTCCCTTCCATTTCCTTTATAAAGTTATCTTAAAACCCCATTATCCTGCGTCTCCAAGCTCCAACTCTCATCATATCTCCCAAAGGTATGCCACTTCTCCATCATTTCCTTAGCATTTTTGCTTTATTTTTTATATATTTATCTTAGCACACATCGAAGGCTTCCAGGTGATTATTTTACTGAAAACCTGTGAGCTCAATAGCTGTGCAATATCATAAGTATCATCCTCTTCAAAAAAAATTTCCTTTTGATAAATACCCATTATTTATCGTGAGATTTAAATGGTTGATGATTACATTTTATTATTACCCATTTGCAAATATTTGGTTATTAGATTGACCAATTGGTTCCCCTTTGTCAATATGTTCTTGCAGATGTAGAGGTTCAAGTTCCCCTTCCCCCTTTTTTAGCAGTTAATTAATATTTGTTCAATTCAGGATTGTATGGTGAAAACTTTTGTCTTTCAAAGTGTGATGCGATTGTTTCGTTTGACTAGTGTCTTTTGGGTGTGTGTTCTATAGTTCAATTTCTTTGTAATATTTTGTTTGTTTGTTTTTTTAGTGTGTGGAAATTTTGGACTCTTAAATGCTAGAACCCATAATTGTAAAACGTGGTTAAGATATACACGTTTTGAATGCGTGTCTGTATATAAAACAAGTTTAAGATATACATTTTATTCCTTCTGTTAGTTCCTTTGTTTGTATAAAAAGTTTGAATTTGAAGAGAGCACTCAACATTTTTTATTCTTGTCCACAGGTGTGTTAACTAGGTTAAAAGAATGTCAAAGTCAAACCCCAAAGTTTTCTTTGATATTTTGATTGGAAAAGCAAAAGGTGGCCGAATTGTAATGGAGCTATTTGCTGATGTTGTTCCAAAAACTGCTGAAAATTTCCGCGCCCTCTGTACTGGGGAAAAAGGTGTTGGAATGTCTGGGAAGCCGTTGCACTATAAAGGCTCGGCATTTCACCGAATCATCCCATCCTTCATGTGTCAAGGCGGAGATTTCACAAGGGGGAATGGCACGGGCGGAGAGTCGATCTATGGTATGAAATTTGCAGATGAGAACTTCAAGCTCAAACACACTGGACCTGGTTGTTTGTCAATGGCAAATGCTGGAGCAAACACCAATGGTTCACAATTCTTTATATGCACCGAGAAAACCCCGTGGCTTGATGGGAAACATGTTGTCTTTGGCAAAGTAATGGACGGTTATAGTGTTGTGAAGGAAATGGAGAAACTAGGCTCAGATGATGGGAGAACTTCGCAACCTGTTGTGATAGAGGACTGTGGTCAGCTAAAAGAGAATTGAAGCAGAAGCAGGAATGCTTAAGTACTGTGTTTCCCTTCACATAAGCACCTCTAGAATGATTATATAAATAGTTAATGGATGAATATAATTTGTACTTTCTTGAAGTTGGATTTTTTTTACTGTTCTTTGAATCTGACATTTGTTATGAGCCTGCTTGACAGAGAGGCTATAATAATTTCTCTTATCTGTGAACGTATGAACTGTTATTGATATTGTTATTTAAGAATGACATAAGTGTGAAATATTACGTGAGTTTAGCATTTAAGAGGTGATATTCAGCAGAGTCGTGATTCGGCGATGCCTCCTTTCAATGGACAATCGTTTAGCAAACCTGCTCTCAATGTTAAGTTGAAAACATTTCGCGATTAAAAACAGGACATAATTTGATTGTATGAAGTTAATACAGAAAGAATTGCATGTGGTATTTTTAGTCTTGCTTGATGAGTGCTTCTTCATATGTGTTTGAATTTTCCACCGGTTCATATAAACCAGTCTCCAAGTTCACAGAAGAAACATGCATTTTAAGAATCTGATTTGCAATATTCTCAAGCTGTTCAAGGTTTTCTCTGTTTGAGTTGTCTGACGCTGCTTGGGTATATTTCAAGCTATCAATCTGGTTCAGTGTAAAACATTTTGGATTGTGACAAGATATCAAACATCGGATTTTGTAAATGAACAATGGGGGGAATCAAACACAAAATCTCAATGTTCAGAATGGAAAGGGGATTTGACATAACTGACACTAATTTTCTTTAATATTTCTTTTCTGACACTGTTTGATCAATATATCCCGAAGTAGCACCCTTTCTACTGAGTTGGCAAAGGCGCGTCCCCGGGGACGCGCTTTACCCGTGTTTTCGCTGAGTTGGATGCCACGTGTGGAAGGCGCATCCCCGGGGACGCGCCTTTGCCAACTCAGCAGACACGTATTTTGTTTAATAATAAATAGTTTATTTTTATTATTATTATAAATTAATAATATATTATGTAAAATGTTTCGATTATAATGTAAGAATTATCAAATGTATTTTGTTAATGTGTGTTAAAGGTGGAGTGAATTATCTACATTAATATGATATAACAATATATGAAAACCAGTTTTGACTTTATTGTAGTTATAGGAAAAATGTATGAAATTATAATATTACACATATGGTTATATTATTATTTTTGATTTTGATTATCGATCTATTAATTTTATCCGTTAATTATTTAAATGTTATCAATCTAGTCATCTCATATCAATATTTAATGAAAATATTGATGCATAAGTTAATAAATTAGTATAATTACATATTTAATATTCAAGACTTACATATTTTATAAAATTAGTCTTATTGAAAATTTAATTTAATAAATTTAATCCTCCAATCAGAACATGAAATGTGTCATCGTATACATAAAATTTTTAATAACTTTTAATTTGTTTAATTTAATATTTTTCTCTACTTAGAAGGTGGAATTATTATTATATTTTAAAAAAAATTATAACTAATAATATTAATTATTATATTAAATAAATATATTAAATATATTTATGTATTTAAAAGTTAAAAAAAATTATTTAGCTGTACATACATTGACAAATTATATAAATGCAATAACATTAAATTATTAGAAACAAAAACATTCATTTAAATACAATATTAATTACATAAGAGCTAACGGTTATATGATGATAACAGAGCTGGACATTTTTTTCTATTGTGCCCGATGTTTCTACAATGCCCACATCGTTTTTGTTCTGTTGACTTCTCCCGAATATCCATATCACAATGTATTCTAGTAGATTTGGACGACATGAGTCCCTCAATAGCAATGGATCTGGTACAATTGTAAGCCAAGTTTGAATCTCATTTGGGTCTCTTTCGTTTCCTATGGGTGGAAACTCAAATTCATATACCTTGAATACTTGTGAAAGTTGGTATACGGAATCAACATAATTTTTGTAGTCCAAATGCGAATGTGAGCAAGCATCAATGACATGAGAGCATGGATATTTGAGTGCTTGAAAGAAACCACAATCGCACCACCTCTCTTGCAGATTAACTCTGAAAGAGTTAGCTTCAATCCCTTGCAGGGGACGTAGCATTTCGGTTACACGAAACAATTCACGGGTGCGAGAAAAATTTGTAACTAACATCCCATTTGATGCAGCCACTTTTTTCTGTAAATCAACTACTAGTCTTGGGTGGTAAATATGTCCGTTTTGCATCCAAGTAAGAGCTTGTCCACCGAGCTTTGCAAAGATTTGACCCAAACGAAAATAAGTCGTTTTAACCAACGCCGTGACTGGTAAATGACGCGCCCCCTTTAAGGTTGAATTTATTGCTTCAGCCAAGTTTGTTGTCATATGACCATAGTGATACCCCCGTCATATGCATTTGTCCACATTTCTTTGCTGATGTCCATAATGTACTCGCACCCCTTCTTATTTTTGCCAAACAGCTCTTGTAGCATCGACTCAAACCTTTGAGGTAAGAGTTCGTAACCTAAGCCATTAGGAATATGTAATAGTTAATATGAAGTATAAATAAGTAATAAGAAATTGATAGAAAAATTGGGAAAAAGTAACATACCCATCCGCACGACTAACTGACGTTCATCGTTCTTCTTGTATTTTCCGTAATAGTTTGCAGCAATATGACGGACACAATAACGATGTTGAACATGTGGAGGTCTATACATTGTACCCAAAGAGTCCATTGCTGCTTTTATCCCGGCTCCTCGGTCTGAAATAATGCATACTCGTTCCCTGGTGACAAAATGTAAACGTAAATTTTTAAGGAAAAAAGCCCAAGACTCAGTGTCTTCTCCTTGAACGAGGGCAAACGCAACAGGAAGAATATTGCGGTTTCCATCTTGGACCACAGCCAATAATAAAACTTGCTTGTATTTCCCATACAAGAAAGTACCATCAATTTGGACAATTGGTTTACAGTACTTGATTGCATTAATACACTGAGGGTAAGTCCAAAAGACTCGGTAAAATTAGCAGAGATCGCGAACCATTCGATCATTCACGTAATGATGTTGAGTTTCGAACTCAACAATTGTCCCGGGATTAAGTCTTTGCACAACATGAAACCAACTGGGCAGCTCGTTGTAAGAGGAATCCCATTCGCCATGAAGTTTGCAAATGGCATTCTGTTTTGCCAACCACGCTTTTTTATATGAGACAGTGTACCCATATTGTGACTGTATAGCATAAATCAACACTGCAACAGCTATATGAGAGCTTTGCTTCACAATGGGCATGATTGCTTGACAAATAATGTTGGAGTCCAAGTTGGGATGATCCTGGTTTATACCTGTTGCACAACATGTATGAAGACCGTTGTATCTGGTTAGTTCCCATAAGTTGTTCTTCCTCTTTGATACATGGACCATCCATTGACATCCGTTGTCACGTTGGACGCAGTAGCAGACATATTTCTCCGTGTTAGATCGATCAACTCGGGACTGAACTGAGTTACGAATATTGTAACTCTTTATTGCCATCATTGCTTCCTCCTTCGATGCGAACTCCATTCCAATATGTAAATTACCGTCATTGACTGATGATTGAAGTCCATAGTTGCCAACATCAGGAAGATCTGGAAATTCAGGCTCATACATTGCATCATAATCAGCCTCATACATATGTGCAGGAAGTTCGGCTGGTGTTGTATTTATCGGAACGTCATCCTCGTCATCATCAGAATGTACGTTAAACTGTGGTGAGTCAGGTTCAACGAATAATCCCGTTTCAGCACAATCTGCACCTGGCTCTCGAAGAGGTTCTTCTGGTAGAGATGAGGGTTCCTCCGATAATCCAATATTGAGGTCAAATAAGTTCCCGCTTGAGTGTCCTCCCCTTGAACTTGAGGCCATTGTATCATGTGGGATGTGAATAGACTGTCGTCTCGTTGGCATTTCCATATGTAAGTCGAAAACATTGGCAGATGAATGTCTGCCCCTTGAAGTAGAAGAGATGTTGCCATATGGATTATTGGTGAAGCCACGTGGGTTGAGATCATAAGCAGTTGCAGATGAATGTCTTCCTATTGAACTTGATGGCATGGTATATGGCATTGGATCCGCCATTAATGATGTGAAATCATTACAGATCAGTTGTGTCGGGCTATCAACTTGATCAGTTTGATATGCAATACCAAAGTGAGAGGAATATGAGAGACCACGAGTTGCACGAACCTCAATAAAAGTGGCATACATTTCAATAAGAGATTGTGAACTCCCCATATGAGCATCAACCATCATAGAAACATCATCATCGTTTGAAAGCTGAAATGATGTATACGTGAGCGGAAAAAGTTCAGTAGGAAATCTGTACTGAAGTGAAGATAGTCTTCTCTGGCATGCTACACGAATCTTTAACGAAATTTTTATGATTAACTCCTCAATTGTGATGTTTCTCTTCAAGGTTAAGGGGATATAATGATCTGACTCAAAAACAACCCCCTCTTCAGCTTCCTTAATTTCTCCATCATACAAAACAACAGCAGAAAGACGACTCATTTTCAGAGAATTTGAGAATTTAGTGTTTGGGAATTTGAGAATTTGAAAGATTGTGAACTGAAGTTTGTTTTGAAAGTTTATAATACGTTGCATATAATAGTGTCTATAATCGGAGTACTATTCACATGAAGGCACGTTCCTGGGGGCGTGCCTTCCATTATTTCGTCAGAGAATATGTTATCATTGCCCTATTATGTCACTCATGTCCCTCGGGGACACTAGATATATCAGTACCTATTATTTCACTATTCACATGAAGGCGCGTTCCCGGGGGCGTACCTTCCATTATTTCGTCAGAGAATATGTTATCATTGCCCTATTATGTCCCTCATGTCCCTCGGGGACACTAGATATATCAGTACCTATTATTTCACTATTCACATGAAGGCGCGTTCCCGGGGGCGCGCCTTTCATTATTTCGTCAGAGAATATGTTATCATTGCCCTATTATGTCACTCATGTCTCTCGGGGACACTAGATATCAGTACCTATTATTTCACTATTCACATGAAGGCGCGTTCCCGGGGGCGCGCCTTCCATTATTTCGTCAGAGAATATGTTATCATTGCCCTATTATGTCACTCATGTCCCTCGGGGACACTAGATATATCAGTACCTATTATTTCACTATTCACATGAAGGCGCATTCCCGGGGGCGCGCCTTCCATTATTTCG